TGAGTTAGAGTTGGTCGTAAAACAGGTCTGGGGAATTATTACAAACTTTGATTTGGGGCTGAGGCAAGCCAATGATAATATTTTTTAAGGTTTTCTGAGATTTTTAGGTGAGCTTGACAAAATGTAAAGAACAAGTGAAGGGGGGTCCCAGTGCAAAATATCGAAACACTGTCCTGTTCTCCCCAGGAGCCGACTCAGCCCAAGGTGTTTCCGAGGTGCAACAAGGCACCACCCAGAAAAAGTAGGAAGAGAAGACAGAGAAGACAAGTGCAGGTTGCACTTCTGCAAGGAATGGATAATCTTAGTCTTAGGCTGGGGCACCTGGATACCACACGTGTGCATCTAACAAATGATACTAGCAATAGCGTAGTTCAGATACTTTCTAAAAGAGCGAATGTTAATGTTTCTTTTAAGGTAGTTTTACCGTGTTTTGGTCAGGACAGAGATGTGCTACTATTGATCTGATATTATTAATCTATTACTATTCATCTACTCTGCCTTACAAGAAATCTAGGTGTTACTGTACTGTTAGCTGTTTGTGACGTATTAGAGTCTGGGACAGGTGAAACGTCCTACTCAGGGTGAGGAAATAACACCTTGATATTACTAGAGGCTGATAAAGGAGCAGTCCTGGTAGTATTTTCCCCAAAGAATTCCCAGCTGGATTCCTAAGGTTGTTTAGATGGTGGTTTTAATCTAAAGAGACGAATTCGTATGAAACAGACTGGAAGCTGAGTTCGGTGCTTTATCGGCACCAGATATCTACTTTGCAGTGTTGGCACGCAGTAGAGCTGGATCGTCACTTACCACCCAGGGTTTGCTGCAGAAGTTGTAGATGGAGTAGAGAGAGTTGACCGTGTGGATGCCACCGTACTGGAGGCCGATGATGAGGCTGCGGAAGTCCTCTCCCAGCGCCATGCTGTAGGCGTGCTGCCGGATCAGGACAAAGTCTGGCTTGAAGGACCTGGAAGAGATGAAGGGAGTGACATTTTACTTTCAAATGCTCAGCAACACTTCTAGTCTCTCCTTGTTTCTTTGCCATCCTTCCTCTTTCTTTTCATTAACACATGTTGCTCTTTGGGCCTCTCGTCATGGGTTGCTTGCGTTAGAAGGTAACAAACTAAACAAAAAACCCTAGTAATTAAAAAAAGGAAAAATCCAACATAGCTGCACGTGTGGGAGCATACAAAGAGGCCAAACAGATTTGCTGCAGTTTCCATGTCACTCAGGCATGCGCAGGAACAAGCCACAAGCGGAGCCAAGGGTCATAAATTCACTGGTGGGGGGATTCTCTTTTCTTTCTAAAAGCTTGGCCATATTTGGCAAGCTCATTGCAATGTGCGACGCAGATGAGGGAGAAAGTTTGTTTTCTGATGATTGAACTCAATATTGAAGCAATGCCCAGTGGGTGGGAAGATCATAAGGGATTTCAAAAAGCTATCGTACACATCCATACATTGACATACATTCCCTGTTTAATCAGTTTACTACATACGCAGCACATCCCAGGCTCTTACGGCTATAAGTCAACAAGTAAAGGGCAGGCATGGTAATGTAATTAATCAAATGAGCAGAGCCCCTCATCCAGTGCTGTGACTCATGGCGTGGACTTCCAGAATATTATTTAGCAAGACTGGAGCAGGGACTCCTATGGTTCAACAGCAGCAACTCTCAGCAAACGCACAGAAAAGTGAGGCATTTTCTAGGTAAGCCAACAGGCGACGGATTATCTTTCAAACAGCCAGATTTCATTCCTTGCTGACGCTGTGTCTTCAGAGCCATTCAGGAATCTCTGGAAACAGCAGCTGGAAAGAAACTGATCCCAAAATGGAGCTCAGCAGTTCGTTCTCAAAGGCATGGAAGGGGCTTTTCCACTGAAACAGGGGATTATTTTATACTTTAACAGAGGTTGCATCAAGGACATTGGAAAAATTTCCATGCTGTATTAAAGTTTTTCAGAGAAATGAGCTCTGTAACCAGGTCCCATTACCTCACTACCCTCGAACATTTTCCTTGCTAAGAGACTATAATTTCTATCCTTGGGATGTATGAGCTGGAAATACTTCGGGTTTGTAGCCCCTATTTATATTTCCATCATTCTGGCAGGGAAATCCGAGATGGTAACTCTGGGCCAGATTGTGGCAACAAACACTGTATACAAAACCCAGCACAGCTTTGTTGTTTTAAAACTGTTCATTTTGTTTGTTGGCCTTGGACTTTCATTATCGCCTGAGACATGGTGAGGAGCGATGCATGCTTTTGTGATGCAAGAGGCTAAGCTTTGGAAATGTTGTGATTCCCTCCCATGGAGTATTTTTAAACCCAGGCACGTTCCCTAATGTACTTGGCACCAAAGGTGGTGCTTTCCTCCAGCAGCAAGACGCATAATGAGCATCAGGAGGGCTGCGCTATCACTGTGCAGCTGATTTATGGACCTCCCTGGTGTCAATAGGGGTGAGGCAAGCAGTGACCCCCTGCTGAGGAACAGCAAGTGAATACAAACCTTGGAAAGCTTGAGCTGCTCTATTCTGCTAGACTTGCAATGTAGAAAGTACCCCAGAGGCAGGCACAGGTCCTCAGGAAGGATTAATCGTCTTCCTAGGACCAGGACTCCATATCTGCGCTGAGTTAGTAAACAGTTGTGGTGCCTGGAGGGGCAGGAGCTTCAGGCGTCCCTCATTCATTCGGCTTTCTGAGCATATGAAGAAGAAAATGGTCCCTGTTACAGCTCAAGTCTTTCCCCAGACTTGACTTAGGGAGCAGCACTTACTGGGGCTGCATGGTAAAGGTTCAGACTGTTGCTCCTGTCTCCCCAGAGGAAGCGGCAGTATTTGCCCCTGAACATCTCCCCCAACACCCCGGGGTGGGGACGCGGTGCTGTGGTGGGGAGGAAGCATGCAAATGAGCATGGCCGGCTGGGGGGGAGGACACACAGCGGCTGGGAAACTGCCTTCAGTGGCTTTACTTCTGCCAGTGAAAAGTTTAGAAAAAAAGCTCTTGTTTTTTCAGATCCTGGCAAAGGCAGAGTTTCTCAACTTACAAGATGGACACAAGAATACAGAATTAACATAGAAAAGCCTATTCTCAAACTCTGCATCGTGTAGGAAGGCAGGGCACTCTCTCATGCAGCAGATGAGGAGTGAATCTCTAAAGCGAAGGTGGACACTGAACCCCTGTTTTGAGCCGCGGGACAATGAGGATGTTCCCATGGATACTGAGAACAAGGCAGAGGAGTGCAGGGCCTGGGACTAGCTGCGAATAAACATCAGCTAGAGAGCCCCAGAGTCTGCAAGATGTCTGTAGCGGAGAAACAGAGACCAGTGGCAAAATGTGAGGCGAGGGGCTAGGAAGGATAGCAGGCAGTAAAAGGGAAATGGATAGTCATGGTAGGAGTGGTGGCATGAAAACTGAATAACTGGGGGTACCAGTGATCTGGGGAGAAAAGAGCTTAACTGCTTCACAAGAGGATTCTTGCTTTTTTGGTAGAAGATTACTTTTGCAAGCTACCGCTCATTCTCAGAGTGCAAAGCTTAAGCTAACATAGAGAGCCTTGGATTTGGAATAGCTAGTAGCATAACTGTTTTCTTTGCTAGTTCAACCCAATAACATCTCCCATGACAGAAAGTTGAAATCCTTGGCAGACAGACAAGTTAGGCAGAAGTCCCACATTTGAAACAGTGTTGCCAAAACCTTTGGGTGAACCAAACTCAGTAGCACCAACTATGCTGAGGTCCTAAGCACCTGAGTCCGGAAGGACTAGGAGAGCTATGGCAGGAGCACATACCTTTCCTCTCCACTAGATCTGTCCAGCCAGCATTTAGATGACCACGAGTGGTCTTGAATAAAACTGTACATAGACCCCTGCTAAAGACAGGTCACAGGAATGGGTTTGGTCACAGAAAGAATACAGGAAAGCTCATTCAAACATCTAGTGGGCAGGGAGATGGGATAGGTAAATGGAACTAAAAGTAAACCACAGATTTAAAACATGTCGCTAATAAGCTGTGCTCTGCATGTTGGTGTGGTGCCCTTCCTGGGCTGTGTGGCAGACACCTACCTGAAGTCGTGAATCTTCCTTAGCATGATAGCCAGAGGGATGGAGCTTCCAGGAGAAAGCTGGAGCCCATCTTTGGCGACAACCCTTTTACAGAAGCCCTTCCTCAGACCCCAAGTGCTCAGTTCTCATTTAGAGTTTGGCTCATAGCACTGCCTGGCAAAATAAAGGCCACTAAAATGCATGTAACATGTTCCCAGAGTGGCATAGAATCCTTTGTTTAAAAAAAAAAGAATCCAGGACACTGGAAAAAATTTCATTTTCAGATTGAAATAGCTGGTGAGATTTCATTTTCCTCTGGAATGGAAAGGTGCTTTCCTTTCAGCTCGTGTCGCCACAGGCAATGGCCTCTGCCACACACGGCACGAGCCTTTCAGTGCTCCGAGTGGTGCAGGACTGAACCGGCCACGCCTAGAGTGAAGCAGCCCCCCCCCAGGTCCCTGTGGCTTTTCTCCCTTTGCAGTAGTTGCCTCCTTGTTCCAGATGCTAGCCAAGGCACACGGCAGCTGCTCAGCCTACCCCTCCTCCTGGCAATTGAGATCGGCCAGCGATTACCGGAGTCAGTCACCCCTGGGTGATGACGAGTGCCTGGCTAGGAAGCTGCTAGTGCTGCCAGTCCTGAGCCTGGACTCTGATACTGCGGTGCAGGATGCTTATTTGCATTTAACTAATTTTTTTTCAACTTGTTCCAATGCACTTTAGCAGTCTCTTTCTTTCTTAGTGGTAAAACTATACTTTAGAGACAAACCTAAGTATAAAGCCTGGATCCAAAATACCTAATAGGAAGAGATCTGACTGCAGAATATAATTTCTTAGGTTGGACCCATCTACCCTTAAATCTGTGACAGCATTAGCTGTCTTGGAAATAGTTTTGTCAGAAAGGGGGGAATATAAAACAATTTAAGAGATTCCTGATGTTAAATATGGAAGTTAAACATCTCAGGAGCCGCAGTAGCTATTCTGGTGACCATGTGTCTAACTTCTTTAATTATGAGAAGAGGATCAGCTCTGAAAAGATCATCAATAACATTTCTCTGCAGAAAGCAGTTCCCCAGCCTGCTTTGGGGTAGAGAAGATGATGACAGCAAATCCTGCTGGGAGGTTTCATGCCTTGAAGAGATTTCCTATTTCTTATTTCTGCATATAGCCATAACTCTGGCTTGCTTCCTGGTCCTTCAGCTATTCTCACTGAAGCACAAAGGGCTTCATGGGCATGAAGAAAGAACACACAAGACTAGATTATGTTGTCAAAATACCTTTTAATTATCCTTTCCACTGTGAATAATCACCTGCAGCCAAAGGGTAGATCTGCTTTATACTTTAGCACCCTGGTGGGTTTGGAGAGCTTTTTGCCCATGCTGTGGGAGAAGGATGGGGTCTCCTGCTCTCTTTCTTAAAGAGTGCCAGTCTTAAAAGACACTTCACCCTTCATATCAATAGACAAAGATCTTCCCTGGACACTGAAGATGCACATCCTCACTTCAGGTTCTGTCTACCCTCCATTATTCAAGGGGGCTTTGTTCAGTTTTCTGACATGTCCCAGTGAGCAACACATTCTGACTAAATTATCTTCCAAAGTCTTTCCTATCTGCTTGGCATGACATGGAAAGGAAGAAAAGTGCATAATTAAGCAATATGATACAACAAGCTTTGCATTACTGGCAATTAATGGAACCTTCAGGCAAGCTTGAGGCACAAGTCCAAGCCATAAGTGGCTGCACTACCTGAGAAGTGCAGTAATTCCTCCAAGTATGCAGTACCTCAGGTGTCTGAGAGCTAATAGAAAATGGCATTTACAAATAGGAACAAGTTCTTTTTGTGCTTTACTTGAGTGTTAATAGTATTGTTATTATATTACTGAAAAGTAATATGAAATCTATGACATTTTCAGCTATAATGATGCTAGATTT